AGGTCTTATTTTTCCCACATAATCTACCTTAACCAAAAGCAGTTCTCATAGTGTCCGTTTCGTATTCAAGACTAAACTTTGCACCAATTGAGGCAACATTCTACAAACTAGGAACTCCCAAATTGATGACATTTTCAACTCTTAAAGCGAACATATTTAAACAAAAAAAATTATACCTGTTTTCATTTTCTTGTTATTCCATTTCAAATGATTACCTTGAGGAGAAATGTGTGTGAATCAGAAGCAGTTTTCAGGTCTCCAGTAATGTAATCGGATTTATTTCCCGAGTAAGAAAATCCAACACCAGCTGGAGAGTCCAAATATATGATGTTGGAAACTTGGCAGACAAAGCTCATCAATTTAGGAGCTTATTTAAGAAATATGGGTAATATAAATGCTATTTGACATTCAAAACAAATTTATAACCTTGGACCAGCTGTATGGGTTGAGATGTAGTTTGGGAAGGCTTCCCTTTGTCTCTCCTGTTTCAAAATTGAATGGTCCTGCATAATATGATCTAAAGATTGTTTCACACATTACTTGAATTAACTGAATTGAAGAGAAAAACAATTAATTTTCCAAGAATTAAGTGCTTTCAATAGATGAAAGTAGAAGAGGGTAAACAAAACCATTAAGTCTGAAATTCCATATCTTAAAAACACAGAAATTATCCAGATCAACGAAAATTTAAACCAAAGCACAGCTATTTTATTTGATTCAAAGGGCCATAGCATCTGAATCCACAAACTGGTTATTTGAAAACTCAAAAAGAGCCCCAAGAATCATAAAGATATGGGAGAGGTTATAGGAAAAGTTATACTCTAAGAAGCACGGACACTTCTAAGAAGGTAACGTATCCGTGTCGTATCCGTGTCGGACACCGACACTCTTTGGACACTTTCCCGACACGTGTCCGACACTCTTTAAAACGTGTCCTATTTTTTAAAGACCCAGACACTCTTTGGACACTAGGAGAATACATGTGTATCTCTTAAATACACGTGTCTATCAATTAGACACATGTGAAACCAATTATAAGTTTGAACAAAACAACTTAAGATACAATAATAAAACAAAAATCATATAAATTCATAAGAATTATTGTCATATTTAATATTTTTATTATCTTTGAATGATATATTCATATATATAACATATAATAAATATATAAAATTATATATTTCATGCGTGTCCCCCGCGTGTCGTGTCCTGCATTTTTTGAAAATTAGCGTGTCGGCGTGTCCGTGTCGTATCTGTGTCGTGTCACGTGTCCGTGTCCATGCTTCTTAGGTTATACTTTTTGAGAGAGAAGTTGTATATTTTGTGAGACGAAAATTACAATTTTTGTGATGAAAGTTATGAATTTTGAAGTTATAATGAGCACCTAAAAGTTATGTATAACTAAAGAATACTTTTTGTGAGAGAAGTTATATATTTTCTGAGAAGCAAAAAAGTTATATTTATAGTGAAGAAAAAAAGTTATACAAAATGAAGTTATGTTTTTTGCATAAGGTGCATACGATCACATCATAGCATTCTCCTAAAGGGATTTCAAGAATTCTCCAACCTATTTTGAAATATGTGGCTATGGAAACAAAATACACACTTCACATATTTTGAAGTACACAGTATAAAATTTTCATCTGTGCCTCAATCCAAGGAATCCAAGCAGTTTCAGTGATTCACAAGATTAGCAAAAGCTTCAATCAAGTTTTCCTCAACAAACCAAAAAAGACAATATGGAAACCATACAGTAACACAAAGAAATAGGTCCAAGACTCACAAATATAGGAAATAGGTAACCATCAATTTGTGAGTGTTACTTCAAGAGGGAAATAGGTCCCCAAAGAGTCATTAGCATTTGAGATATGAGGTTCAATTCAAATGTATTGTTTTGTTACTGTTGATATAAATTATAATCGTGCAAAGGTAGGCTACAATTACAAGGCGCATTCAAATTTCAATTTTTATCCAAACAACAGAAACTAAATTTGCCAGTAATATATTTCTGTAATTCCACGCTTACCTTAACAACAAGAGTTCCCATCTCTTCATAATGATAGTATTCAATGCGTTTCAACCGTAATGCACTATTAGGTACTTAGCAGCAGTCCCTAAGAGAATCTAGAGTAGCTTGTTGTAGCAACTAAATATCAAGCATGGCAAGTATACTTACATTTATAAGGAAAGGTATAAACGGATTTGAAGAAGACTGCTCGGAAGAATAAGTCCGATTTAGAATAGCAAGAGTAAACGTTGAGTAGGTTTAAGCATCTTCTTGTTCTGTAACAATATGTAGCTTATTAGCAATCACCAAGCAATACCACAACCCAGAAAATTCATCATTCACACAGGTATCTATGAGGTCGCAAAATTTAATATAAAATTCAGGGAGAAAGGGAGGGAGAATAAGGCTTGCATCCAACCAGATGATCAAATTTACTTATGCCAAAAAATAATTTATGATGATATGCCATCTCAATTAGATAGTGAAATGATAAATGCAAAATAACAGAGCTGCAAAGGGTCCAACAAATAAAGATATGAGGAATGGCAATCTTTTCATTTAAAATTACAAATAGATAGCATACTCAACATTTTTTCCCTAATTCGTTTGTCTTCTCTTTCACTCACACAGTGCTAAACACAAAGCAAGAAAAGGGCAAGCAAAGAGCAGTCAGATTAGTAGGTAGACATCTAGCAATGTTTAAGTGAAACCCTAACCAAAAATAAATTTTAAAAAAAAAATTTAGAAGAAGAAAAAGAAAATGAATAAAGTGAAAAAAGAAAGCAAAGATTAGTGAAACCCCAAAATAAAGTTGAGTTGAATTAGAATTTCAATTGACACGAAAGTTATGACTAGCATAAAGAGAAAAAATTAACCCCCTTTCAGTGTTAATAAGCACCCATACTAGAAATTCCCAAAATCGCATAATTCAATTTTCCAAAACCAAACAGTGTGCATATTCGTGTTTGCGTACAAAACCTAACAACAATTCCAAGTTCAATCTTAGAACCCAACACCTCATATGGCCAATAAACAAAGCCCTAACTCTCCAAATTCTTACATCTAAACTCCAATCAGCTAAATTTAGTATCTTAATCAAGTATGAAAATCTCCATTACAATTGATACATAAAAAAAATTATATATATATATATATAGAGAGAGAGAGAGAGAGAGAGAGAGTTGCCCCTAAGAGATTGGAGAGACGAGAGCAAAGAGTGAAATGGAGGGGGCGAGGGAAATTGGAGTTGAAATCCGCCATGATTTCATCGAAGGGCCGTTGATCTCCGGACTTGAGCAGACCCATCAACGACTTCGAATCTTCTTAAAAAATTTGAAGTATAGGTATAGGTATAACACAAACAATACCTAGTTGAGCAGACCCATCAATTGACGGTGGTGCTCGTGTGCGATGGTGGTGATGCTCCCGTACCCGACGACGATGGAGACAAAGGCGAGAGAAAGAGCTGGAGGAGGGCAGAGGCGTGAGAGAGTGAGAAAGAGAGAGAGAGAGAGAGAGAGTCACAAAGTGAGAGACAGCTGAGCGTGTGAAAGTGTATTTTTTATATATAGATTTCTTTCCCGACTAATTTCTGTAGTCGCCAATAATAAATAATAACGTTTTTCCGATTAACGACTTTAGGCCCTGTTTGGGGACTTACTTTTTTAGTCAATTAGTCAAAAAGTTACTAAATTAGTCAAAAAGCCAACAACTCAGACCAAAAAGTCAAAGATTCTCTTTTCTCTCTACTTTTTGCACATCTTTTCGTAATTAGCTAAAAAGTCATCCCAAACATACAAGTTTTTTTTACCTACCTTTTTAGCCAAATAGCCAAAAAGTTACTAAATTAGCCTGTTCCCAAACGAGGCCTTAGTAGCCAATTAAATTTTCCTCCGAAATCTGACGTCTAATTTTTAAATTTTTTAATTATAATCGCCGACTAAAATTTAGTCGGTAAAAGTAAATTAATACCGATTAAATTATTTTTAGTAGCTAAAGATTAGACATTTAGGGACCAAAATTGTTTTAGTCGCCTATAGGGTGATTTTTTAGCGACTAAGTCATTTTTAGTCGCCTATTAAGTAACTTTTTGGCTACTAATTGTATTTTAGTCGCGTATTGGGCTATTTTTAGCGACTAACTATTTTTTAGTCGCTGATTGGGTCATTGTTTAGCTACTAAGTCATTTTTAGTCGCCTATTGAGTAACTTTTTAGCTACTAATTGTATTTTAGTCGCCTATTGGGTTATTTTTAGCGACTAACTGTTTTTTAGTCGCCACTAATTATGTTTTAGTCGCCAATAAGTAATGTACGGCTACTAAAAAAATTTAGTAGCTAAAATATGAAACATTGCCGACCAATTCAAATTTTAGTCGCCAAAGGGCTGACTTTTGGCGACTAAATTAATTTTAATAGCCAAATTTGGTCGCCAAAAGTGTAATTTCTTGTAGTGACATTTCACTCTAAATAATATTTTTACAAATTTTTTTATTTAAAATATTTTCTTTATGTTTGAAAAAAAAAATTCCCAAAACCCAGGAGGGGCACGTGACTCTCCTGGACCCTTCTTCCCTCTGCCCTTGCATATAATACATTCTTTTTAAAGTGATGTATATTAAAATTTTTCTAAAATAAAACATCATAAAAGTTGCAACTAACCTCAAAAGTTATAATTATGACCCCCAAAAAAAAAAATAGATGAAATTTGTATGTCTATATATATTTAAGAGTTCCAAATAAATTGAAAAAAATTACAGATTGTAGCACGTCCACGAGGGATCCCGCTACAGTTCGGACTCAATTTGTGTCACGGTTCTTAATCTGAACCAAAGAGTCCAAATCCGGCAAATCGTTTTGAGAAACAGATTTTTGAAAAGAAGTGCCAAATATGGACTACTTTGCCATATACAGAGTCGCCACCTAAATATTTTTTATGGGGGAATTTAGGAAACCCTGACTCGGTGCCAAAGGCCACGTGTCCATCATCACCAAAGTTGCCTCGGCTCGGGAACTTGGGTACGATTGGGGAAGGTCAGCTATGAGCACCCCCTCTCGCCCGATCTGAAGATCGGCCTCTACTAACCGTGATATCTTGTTTTGAAAGCATTATGTGTTCTTATTCCGGTTATTAGCCTAGAATTACTATGTTGTGCGCACAGCAAACAAGTATAGACCAAATCGCCTAAATTGGAACAAAACATTGCATGTTCATTTTGAAGATGGTTTGCTACTCGCAAGTAGGCTAAAATGTAAGTTTTGCCACCCTCAAATGGGCTTTTAGAAAAGATGGTTTTGCCACTCATCTAGTGGGCTTAAAACTCACAGTTTTAATGCATTATCCCAATTTAGGTAATTCAACCTCCATCCACAGGCACTCAAGCAGTTATATCACATAAGCAGCTAGCCTCATGGTGATCATGCAATTATGGCAACACTTACATACATGCGGTATGCTAAAGCAAAAGGACTTACAGAGTACTCCAAGCCAAAACAGAAACTAGCTAGTAATCATATGCATGATCCTAGTTCATGTTAAGATGGCTAATGTAACATATGCGGAATGTCACTAGTGTAGGCTCGGCTAGTCTATAAATGACATGTAAAAATGCACAAGTAGCATGTATTCAAGTTAGATTTGAAATACTTATACAGTTAGTATGATGCGCCAAGCCTGGTGCATGCAATACTGATGAATGATGCACGCATGCATAGCATAAGGTATGCTAAAGTAAACATGTCCTAATACTAACCATCAAAAGCAGGTAAGTAAAAGGGAGAAAGAAGTGGGGTTTGGAAGACATGCACACACGCACCCACGCTTATTACAAATTCACCCTCGCTCAGAGGGACCAAAAGAATAATACAAATTAATTAACCTACAAGCTAATTAATTATTATAGACCAATTAATTAATTAACAAATTAACTAATCTAATGAAAGCAGTAAACGGCCTCGGGAAGAGGGCCCGATGCAATGCACACTCGACTCCGCTCGGAAAGTCACTGCCATGCACAAGTTTGCCTCTGCTTTGACTGTTCTGCTTCTCTGAAAATTGCACAACTTCCAAGGTTGCTTCTCTGAATGTTGTGGGACACTACCGGCTGAGTGAGATCATCACCGGCCATTTAGAATGGTCATCGGCTAAACATTGTGCTCTCGGCCAAACCTGTTTTGCCGGTCGGCACTAAACACTGCCGGTCGGCAGAAAGTTCCTGCAGAAACCTGTTTGACAACAGCAGAGGGAAGACAAGGCATGGCAATGCATTTTCAAAGCAATGTGTGCACCACCACATCCCTTATCATGTTTGTGACTCAAAGGGGTATGGTGCTCGATTCTCGGACCACCAATCGCGCATTTCAATGCGTAATGGCCCAAAAGCCAAGTGTGCAACTTCAATATGGAATCAAATGCACAAAACAAACAATGGGCCCCAACCTCCATCATAATCAATTCAAGAGGCAAGAGATGCATGCTAATGTAATGCAACCTAGGCATGTGAGCTAAGTGTGCAACATGATCATGAAAACAACAAAACCATGTGCAATAGGCACATGAACTAAACAAGTAAGTGTGCAAGGCATATAACATCAATGTTAATGACACACATGCAACAACATGAAAGGCATAACACATGTAAATATGCAAAGCGACTTAACACAAGAAGCATGCCAATTGCAATGACACTTAAACATACAACATGTTAATAGGCTAAGTACCTAAAAATACAAACATGCATAGCATGCAACAACATGCCAAAGGGATGGTCTTAAACTAATTTGGACAGCCCTCTACTACGTCCAAAACAGTGGCCAACATGCTCAAGAATGGAAGCCAAAACACATACAAACAGGCATGCATGCAAGGTCCAACACTTAGGCACATAGAGACAACTTTTAAGCACACTTAAAAGAGGAACAACATGGGCATATGGCATGCAATGTAAGCTCTGAAAATCATGTTAATGATGGTTCCAAAACAAGCAAACAAGACAAGCATAGCATACAACAAATGATCTAAAGCCTAAGGCTCACCAAAGAAGCATTGAACTACACTTAGCACAACCACACATGGCATGAATTAAGTGACCAAATATAGAGATGTGACATGCTAAAATGAGCCTCAAAACCCACCTAAATGGCATCTAAATGGCTTAAGTATGGAAGCATGCATAAGGGCCCAAACAAGGAGCATAAGACAACAACCTTTTAACACATTAAAGGGGTATCAAATGCAAGCATATAGGCATGCCACAAGGACTGAAATAACATGACAAGTGGTTCCAAACCACTGAAATGATGCAGGGATGGCATGCTAGAGGGGTCAATGCTCAAGGCATACAAGAGAGTTTGCATGGTAGCTATACAAAGCAAAGCATTGATGCCTCAAATGACCAAAAACAATCCCTTAGCACACTAAAACAAGCATAAAAGCTTCACAAAGCTAAGCCAAAACAAGTAAGCATAGTGGTCTAAATGCTAGATACATGTTGAGGCAATTTCATGGCATTACAAGACAAGTATGCAAAGCAAGCATGGTGTGTCTAAACCAACTTAAAATAGTGCTATATCATGGCAAAATAAGCACAAATACTACTTAAGACATGGCCAACATGAACTTAAAAAAGGTGCTCACACATGAGGCTAAAATGGCACTTTTTGAAGACAACAAGGAGAGGGGATGGCCCTCTCCTTCTTAGGACCTTAAACCACCATCCTCACCACTGAAATCCCTCAAGATTTCAGTGGTGAGGAGGCCCAAACAAGGTGGTCCCGAAGTTCATCAAAAATAGCACAAAATGGGGCCGAACAAGGCCTAAGAGGGGGTAAACGACCCCAAACACAAAAGTGTCCTTAATGAAGTATCTTAAACACAAAAAAACAGAACTTTTTTATGTTATACACAAAGCTCAAATCAGCAAGCAAGACAGGCTAAAATGGTGTGCAAAAACGGGGAATAAAGAGGGAAAATGGGTTACCTTTGTAGCCAAAAGGGGACAGCAGCCTCTAGACCCAAAAATGCAACCCTCAACCTCTGAAAACAAGACCCAAGAACCTCCAAGTGATGATGGAAGTGTTGTGCTAGGAGGTGTAGTTCAAATGGCCAAGAACTAGACCCTTTTGGACCCTCTAACCCACCCCAAATGTAGAGAGAGAGGGAGATATATAGAGAGAGTGATATATATATCTTATATATCAGATTTTCTAACCCTCTAAAGGGGATGATAGGCTCTCTTTTTATAGAGAAACCAAGGGGGCAAAGCTTCTCTTAGAAGCTTGGAGCAAAAGGGCCAAGAAGGCCAAGCTTCTTAGAGAAGCTAGACAAAAGGGCCAAGCTTCTTGGAGAAGCTAGGCAAATGGGTCAAGCTTCTTGGAGAAGCTAGACAAGGGTTCAAGAGGTGCAAGCTTCTCTTGGAAGCTTAGAAGGGTTCAAGCTTCTTGGAGAAGCTTGGAGCAAAGGGTTCAAGCTTCTTGAAGAAGCTAAAAAAAGGGTCAAGCTTCTTGGAGAAACTAAAAAAAGGGTCAAGCTTCTTGGAGAAACTAAGCTAAAAAGGTTCAAGCTTCCTCAAGAAGCTAAAAAAGGTTCAAAAGGGTCAAGCTTCTTGGAGAAGCTAAAAAAGGGTCAAGCTTCTTAGAGAAGCTAAAAAGGTTCAAGCTTCCTCAAGAAGCTAAAGAAGGTTCAAAAGGGTCAAGCTTCTTGGAGAAAAGGTCTCGGCTAGGAAAAGTGGCCGATTGATCAGAAACAGTGGCCGGCCGACCAAACACAATGCCGACCGACCATCAATAGTGCCAACCGGCCATCACCAATGGCCGGTGGCAAGGAAACAAGGCCGGTGGCCTCAAGCCATGGCCGGTGAGGTGTGGGGATGGCCTACAAGCTACTTCCCACCCTCAGAAGCAAAACAATAAGTGTTTGGTGCAAAACCAGACACAAAACAGACAAGTCGAGAGGTCTTGAGGTACGGCGCGTAGGTGAAACCTCCGAGAACTCAAGACGAACACAAACAAGGGTAATCATCGAGTGTTCAAACGATGATGTCCAAGTCTTAAGGACGGTCAAAAATGGGGTGTCTACACAGATACTTTAAAAAATCTCACTTTTGTAGTAAAAATAAGTAAAAAATATCAAGTAAGTTATATTTTAAAATACAACCAAAACACCATGATTTTTAATTTTATGAGTAATGCTATGGAAATAAATAAAATAAAATAAATTATATATAATTTTTATACATAATGATGTAGTTCATTAGGGATCATTCATTTTTAAACAAAATACCATTAAAAATGTATTTAATAAATTATATATAATTTTTATACATAATGATATAGTTCATTAGGGATCATTCATTTTAAAACAAAATACCATTAAAAATGTATTTATTTATAATAATAATAATATTATCACATTATTCTTGTAAAAAATTTTGTATGAATTTTATATAATTTTTCTAATTTTATATATTTATATTTAGAGTATCTCCAAAAAGACTAAACAAATCATCATTTTTGTTAGAATAGTTAGTAAAATTGCACAAAAACAACTCTAACAAACTAATCATTTGATATCATCATTTTTGTTAAAATAGTTCGTAAAATTGCACAAAAACAGCTCCAACAAACTAGTCATTTGACTAGTTATAATAATATTTACTACAGTAACTCGCCACCAGACAAGTCACTGTTCATGAGTGAATCACGTTTTATTCTATATTCACATACTATAGATTACAAATAAAAAAGTTAAAATCTTTTGTTGATTTGTCAAAAACTATTTTCAGAAAACAAAAGATTAGTTTGGTAAAAAAAAATAAAAAATACTCATCATTTTGTATAATTTTCTATTTCTTAGAGTGAAAGTATTTTTTTAATTTAATTTTTTATATATTTAATTTCATCCAACTAGTTTATATATATATCTATATAATAAGGCACAAATGTTTTTGAAAAATATATCAAAATGTATGTGAGATACATTTTGATCCGATGGCTGAAATCAATTCTAAGAATATATTAACGGTTGAGATCAGTACATCTCCCGCCCAAGACTTCTCTCCTAAGCATTATTGCCTTTACCACCTACCCACGTCTGCCTCCCTACCTTCCCTTTCTATCTCTCTCTCCCTCTCCCTCTCCCTCTCCCTCTCTGTTCTTTAATACATCTCTCTCTGTTTGGGATAATCATCGATCTTATCCACAAGTTTTAGGTTTTGGATTGAGGTTTCAATGGCTGCTGAGGACTCAGATTGCTTTACCCAATTTGTTTCGAAAACACTAGAGACGGATTCACTTGGGGGTGAAGCAAAAAGTGTCGAAATTGGACACAGACAAAGCGAAGCTGAACTGGGTTCGGGGAAGAAGATGAAGATGAGGGCTGAAATCGACACGTCAGCGCCTTTCGAGTCTGTGAAGGAGGCAGCGAGTCGATTCGATGGAATCGGTTTCTGGAAACCCAATTCCCACAAGCCTTCTGGGTCTTCTGAGGTCTGCTCTCTCTCTCTCTCTCCAAGCAAAGTTTATTAGTTTATTAATGTTTTTATTTTAACCTGTTATTCTTTAGTTATTACAGCTATTCATCGATCTGGATTACAGTTATTTTAATAATGGGATCTCTCTGTTCTTTGATTCTATGTTTTTTTTGATGATTTTGTGATCTGGGTTTGTTTAATTTTGTATCTGGATTACAGCTATTCATCGATCTTACCCTCTGTTTTTGTTACATCATTGTTTTTAATTTTGTGTTGCTCCAGATTGGTTCTGATTTTGATTGTTTTTTTTTTTTTTTGATTTGATGTTTCAAATTTTCGACAATGGGAGTTATGGTTTCTTCTAAAACATTTATTCCTTTTATTTCAGTTTGAAATTTGAAATACAATTCTATACCTTTTTTTTCCTTCTCTATATTACATTAGGCTAGAGTGTTAATATCTATATAATAAGGCACAAATGTTTTTGAAAAATATATCAAAATGTATGTGAGATACATTTTGATCCGATGGCTGAAATCAATTCTAAGAATATATTAACGGTTGAGATCAGTACATCTCCCGCCCAAGACTTCTCTCTTAAGCATTATTGTCTTTCCCACCTACCCACGTCTGCCTCTCCACCTTCCCTTTCTATCTTTCTTTCCCTCTCCCTCTCTGTTCTTTAATACATCTCTCTCTGTTTGGGATAATCATCGATCTTATCCACAAGTTTTAGGTTTTGGATTGAGGTTTCAATGGCTGCTGAGGACTCAGATTGCTTTACCCAATTTGTTTCGAAAACACTAGAGACGGATTCACTTGGGGATGAAGCAAAAAGTGTCGAAATTGGACTCAGACAAAGCGAAGCTGAACTGGGTTCGGGGAAGAAGATGAAGATGAGGGCTGAAATCGACACGTCAGCGCCTTTCGAGTCTGTGAAGGAGGCAGCGAGTCGATTCGATGGAATCGGTTTCTGGAAACCCAATTCCCACAAGCCTTCTGGGTCTTTAGGTTACTGTAGACACCTGTTGAAATCCTTAATGTTGCAGGTTGGGGAGCAATATGCTAAAGAAAATGGATTGCTTTTCTTTAAGACTTCTGCAAAAAACTACACAAAATGTCAATGAGCTTTTTTATGAAATAGGTGATTATAACTCTTATCATTTGGCATTAAGGGTATGTTTAGTCTCTTTATGAAATAGAAAATGCATTGCAAAATCTCTTTATGACTGATATGAGTTGGTTGACTGATATGAGGAGTGTTCTCTCTCTCTCTCTCTCTCTCCACACATACACATGGATTTATATTTGGTACTACTGCTTATCAACCAGCAAATTAGTCAAAGAAGATGTTTTACATTATTTTGAATTAATAAATGAAGTGGTTATAGGATGGATGGTTATGGTTTTTTATTACTCCATGTTACATGGACTGTTCAAAATAAATCAAATGTCTCGTGTCGTGGGTCATAAGTACGTGAACTTTTGTTTCTAGCCTCAATTTCACATGGATTCTGACTTTTTGTGTTTGTGAACTAATAAATGAAAGTTTTGTTCTTTTCTTAACAGAGTTTCTTCATAGGGCAGTTGATCTTACACTGGTTCCATCAGCTGCCCTTACAAAGGAGCTTGAAGCAGCTAGGGTAACAGCAGGTAAATGAACATCGCCCAATAGATAACTCTATGAAATTTCACATTGATCACATAACAGAATTTGACATTTATGCTTCTGCTTGAATTTTTATTTTATTTTTTTCAAATGTTTCTCTGAAAATAGCAGCTCATATCCATGTTAATTCTTTGTTTATTTTCAGGTAACAAGATTCGTCTCTGGAATAAGGGTGTTGATTCCAAAAGCTTCCATCCCAAATATCGCTCTCAAGAAATGCGAATAAGACTAAGGTATGGCTTTCTTTCAATCCTTAAAATTTCAGAGAAATAAAATATGAGTTTCCTCCAAATGTTAATATATTGTTCTTTTTTTAATCAGCAATGGGGAGCCCGAGAGAACATTGATAGTCCATGTTGGACGACTAGGAGTTGAGAAGAGTTTGGATTTACTCAAAAGGTACTGCTCTTTTATTCGTGCCTCCGGTATTTTATACTTGCAAAATATTGACGGAATAATGCTTTTTTCATAATTATTATAAGTTGTAACCATTGACATTTGGGATGTATGATTGAACAGTGCCATGGACCAGATACCGGAGGCACGAATTGCTTTTATTGGAGATGGACCATACAGGTATTTCTCTAAGGACTTATTGGCTGTTTAGTTTTGTCAACATTGCCGGAGCAATCTCTATAGAATATAGTATAAAATGATTCTTTGTATTAAAAACCACAAACCGCTGTCTAACGAAATGAATTGTTTATTTTTATATTTTTGCTTACATCCAATGATACACAAATTGGGCCATGATGATCGTCTGAATTTATTTTCCAGTAAGAACCATGGGCAAAATTTATTCATCTAGAATGATTTGTTCGTGGCAGGGAGGATCTGGAAAAGCTGTTCTCCGGCATGCCTGCCGCATTCACAGGGATGTTAGGAGGTGAAGAGCTCTCTCAAGCATACGCCAGCAGAGATGTTTTCGTCATGCCTTCAGAATCAGAGACGCTCGGACACATAATGTCATTTTCAAAAAACAGGTAAAAAGGTTGGTGTTTTGTTTTTTGAACAAACATAAAAAGGTTGGTTGGTGAACTTTTTTGATTTAATTAAATTTTTGTAATGAACAAAACCCACTTTTTAGGAATTATTTTTTGAATTTTCGTAAACCATTTTTTCTTAGCAATGAAAAAAACCACTTTTTTATTTTATTTTTTATTTTAACATTTATAGAAACACCCCAATCTATTAAGTCATATAAAGATATTGCACCAGAAATCCTATTTCTTTCTAATTTACCTAAACATTAATCTTTGGCATATGAATTTTCAATAGATTTCATTGTGTATTCACCTTAAACTGGGGATATGACTCATGAGAGCAGGGGCATTATTCATTCTTCATAGCAGCCGGTTTTTGCTTATCAATGAAAAAAATCACTTTTTTATTTTATTTTTTATTTTAACATTTCATTGTTCCTTTTTTTGGTTTTTTTTTTTAAATTTTTTAAAGCATGAAAAACAAAGAAAACAAAAGCATAACCAAACAGGGCTATGTAGGAAAATTATCCAGTTTTATGTCACATTTCTGGGTATTTTTCCAAAAATGAAAAACAGATGACAGAAAATGAAAACACAACTAAACAAGTACTTATTTTCGAGTATTCATATGTGTATATAATCATAAATATTAAAATGATGGCCATTTTTAGAATTTTTCATTGTCTTCGTTTTTCAAAAAAACTACAAACAGAAACACAACTAAACGGCTAGGAAAATTATTTGTTCTATGTCACATATCGGGGTCATATACTATCCCAGAAAAATATATAGCAAAGAAGAAAATCTATACCTTTTTCCCAGATCTCATGTCGATTTTATCTCACACTGCAGGAAACAAGTTATTCAAAGCTTGCGAATTTACCACCTATAGTCGGCCTCTGCGAGTATTCAACACCCTTACTTTGTTTTTCCTGCTAATTAAGTTCAACAAACTATTAAATTCACAAGATTTGATAGTCTTTAATGTATTAATTTTACTTGAATTGGGCTTTTATGCAGACTCAAGCTTAATCTTGCGGTTGGTCCAGTCTCAATAGCAACATCTTTCCGCCGAATGAATACATAATTGAGGGCAGTTCAAGCTATCAGTTTTACCTACGATAATTTGCCCTAACCTATAAAAGATATGTAACAAGTTTACAAATACAAACTTACTACATAACAGATAGAGTTTTAGGTTGATTACTCTACTTAGGTAGATTACTCTCATTTTTCTAATATTGTGATATTGTAAGCTGTGATTATGAGTGCTTCTTTATTTAATAAAAAATTATAAGCAAGTAAAATTTCTGAAAATTTGGTGAATCATGTTTGAAATTGTTGAGTGCGAGTCTGTTAGTTATTTACTGATTAGGTATTTTGTTTGGCTTCAGATTTTAAACTTCAGTATTTTTGTTTTTCATTCTTTTACTCAATATGTTGTTCCTTCAAGGAGAACAAAGATCTGATTTTTGTTGAATTTTTCTCTATACAATCTGTCTGAAGTTTGATTATATATCTATGGTTGAAGCTAAAAATAGGAATTACGACCCACCTTTGTTGAAAGAATATATTTTGACCTAAGTTTAATGATAAAATTAGTATATTGATTTTTTTTTTTTTTATTTGGTGTGGGTAATGAAGCACTGGGCAATCCCAGATGATGGGTGGAGCGAGCACACAGAAACTAACTACCAATGATGCATTGGCATATTTCAAGGCAGTTAAGGACATATTTCAAGATAAAAGGGATAAATATTATGAGTTTCTTGAAGTTATGAAAGGTTTCAAGGCTCAAAGGTTTGGTCATTTATTCCTTCTTTTACATCCAGAATCTAAATAAAGTTCTCATTTATTGATCCCAATGTTACATTGTTTGAGACAAAGTTGGGAGAGATTTGCTTTTCAAAGTTGGGAGAGAGGCTCAAGTTACACAGATTTGCTTTTCTCTTATCCCCACACCCCAATTTGCTTCTTTCCTCCCTCAGATTTTAATCTTATCCCCACACAGATTTTAATCTTAATATTTTCTCTTTCTCTTGAACTAATTTATAATTTATGAACTTATTGAAGATACAATATTGATAGAAATAGTGCAAAAAATATATATATTACATTCAATAGAACATGAAGAGAATATGTTCTTATTCTGCCAAATTAGCGTATGCCCGTGCCTAAAGGCACGGTGTAAATAATTTTAAGATTAAAATGTAGTTATAATTTATACAGTTTGTGTCATTTTTTGATAAAGACATTTCAATATTGTTATAAGTTCTTTAAGAAGAAAAATATTTCAATATATTTTTTCAGTATCTTTATTAAAAAATGACACAAACTTTATAAATTTCAACATAATACGTATAAATTATAACGGCATTTTAATCTTAAAATTATTTACACCGTGTCTTTAGGCACAGGCATACGCTAGTATCACAATATTAGAAAAATGAGAGTAATCTACCTAAGTAGAGTAATCAACCTAAAACTCTATCTCTTATGTAGTAAGTTTGTATTTGTAAACTTGTTACATATCTTTTGTTATAATTTATACAGTTTGTGTCATTTTTTGATAAAGACATTTCAATATTGTTATAAGTTCTTTAAGAAGAAAAATATTTCAATATATTTTTTCAGTATCTTTATTAAAAAATGACACAAACTTTATAAATTTCAACATAATACGTATAAATTATAACTGCATTTTAATCTTAAAATTATTTACACCATGCCTTTAGGCACGGGCATACGCTAGTATATATATGTATTAAAATAATTTTGATAGTTTATGAAAATTCAACCAAACAAGGTGATTAGTCATTTAAAAAAATATGTTAAAAAAAATGTCTGTTAAAAAATGTCATTGAAAAATTATAGCCATTGAAAAAATATAATAGTTAATTGTATTTGAAAAAAAAAATAGTAAAAAAATAATAATTTAAAAGAAGAGAACTAGATAGTATTGTTGGAGGATAGTAACTCTAGCTAAAATAAAAACAAAAAGTGAATTTTTGGCTAGATATAGGGATAATTTGGAAAGTTAGTAAAAAGCTATATTGGTTTGGCTAGATATAGGCATTACCAAATTACTACTCACAAATAGCTCGGTTTGACAATGGGTTTCTTCCTTCCAAAGTTTGACCTACATCAAACAATAACATAACATTGAAGTACAAACCTAATTCGATCAAGCTTAACAAACTGAATGCTTAATGTTTTCCTTAAACTTTTCTAAGCATTTAGTATTGTTCTAGGTCTAGTTCAAGCTTTAACTAACGCCTTGTTTGGGAACATGTTATTTTAGTAACTTTTTGATTTTTTAGCTAAAATATGAGGTAAAAAAAGCTAGTATGTTTGGGGTGGTTTTTTGACTTTTTACGAAAAGATATGCAAAAAGTAGGGAGAAAAGAGAATCTTTAACTTTTTCGTATAGATTATAGGCTTTTTAGTTTTTTTAGTAACTTTTTGACTTTTAAGCTAAATCAGTACTTGCCAAACGAGACCTAAATGTCAAATGCATAAAAGAGGTGTTCCACGAGATCAGGGCCTTCGATACAAGAAATCGAACAAAACTAGGTATTTCCGCACATGCAGAAAACAGGGTTGAACGTGCGGTTGGCCAGGGCACATGCCCCCACGAGCGTGCAATTATTTCAGTCTTGCACTTGGGTCGAAGAAAGATGGCCACACATGTGGCAATGACTTCCGCACATGCGGAAATGGCTATTCGAGTGCGATTGATTTAGGTCCGGGAATGGTTCCTCTTCTCCCTTTTTTCCCATTTCTTTCTAGGGTTCAAAGACATGAATTTTAGCTTTCAAACTACTTGAAAAACGTAAGAAAAGATGCATCCTTCTTTTTAAATCAAAATATCAAAACAAAAACTAAATCTTCAAGTTTCTATCTTGTGGCTTTCTTTTCATTTTATTCTCAAACCTTTTCTTTCACACACGGATTCAAGTATGTAAAACCCTTAGAAATGACACAAACATGTGAACATAAGGACCTAGTTACATCAAATCTCCAATCAAAGTGGTGAAATTCTAAGCTATTTATCTAGTTTTCCACCATAACCTAACCTTCCTCATTCTTGCTTCCATTTCTTCCTTTCTAAACCAAATCAATCCTAGTTTCTTCTTGATTTTAGAGGTTAGGGATGATTACTACAAGTTTTTGGGTAGAAATCTTACCTTAGATTTGCTAAAAGTTGAGTTTTGATGAATTCTTCTTTGAGTTCTTCCTTTTCCCTCTTCTTTTTTTCCTTTTTCTTTTTTCTAGCTTTTTCCAAATTTCTCCAGCAAATTTCCTTTGGCTTGTTTGGTTTTGATGAGTTAGATATAAGGTTTTATTTGGTGTGGTTGGGCAAAAGTTGCAACATCATTAGTTCTCTAATCTTGGTTACTTAGTTTAGCTAATCTAGGTTAGAACTAATTAATCACGGTTTATGCTTAATCCTAATTAAGGTTCACTAATCATACTTAATTACCACTAATCCTAATTAGCAAAATAACAAATAACATGAAATGGACAAGCACATTAGACTAAGGTCCTTAAGCTGCTCAATTAAAGCTAAAGCATTTACTATGATTCTCGAATCAAGTTCTAAGGTATCCTCTAACTCAAAGCAAACAAGCAATATTTTCTAAGTTTAGGTTTCCAAACTAGCTTCTCCTTCTCTTAGAATCCCTATCAAGTCCTGGAGCAAACGTGTAACGTTTGACATAACTTAAAATACATGAATGTCATGATATGCATTGTGCATGAGAGGTTGGTTGTCACATTTAGTTTAGTCAATGCGACTATGTATGCTTCACAACAAGCTATTCTTCAAAACCCATCACAGTCTACCCCAGGGATTGTCATGAAATCTTTAAAATGTTTTCTTAACTAGTCAATACTCTTGTTAGTTAAAACATTGCCATTACATATGTTTGCTATACCGTCATGTTTCATAAATTATGGTTGCTTTTGTGTTGTTTCATAGAACTTCCCTTTAGCTTCAATCTAAT